TCATATGATAAACCCTCGGGATAATGTTAATATTTTATATTTTTACAGAATCCCAAGAAGAAATCATGCACCTCTTTTATGAAAATTACCGCGGTAAAAAGTTGACTTATTAAACAGCTATGTCATGTAGGGAGCAGAATGTAATTTGAACTGTCCAATGGTAATGTAATGGTTTTCTTCTTTTGCCCTTTTCCCATGATTTGCAGTTCCCTCTGACCCTAGCCCTACTTATTTGAACCCTACTTATTCATCGTTGAATAAGTAGACCAAACAATAGATGACCAAAACTCTCTCCACGTGCGGGCCTGCCTTGAGCAATGCTGGTTGGTAGACCAAACTGGGCTAACATGTATGCTGCAGATCCAAACCGGTCCTTGAAGATTGCTGGCGGTCCATTATGGCCCATACCACACACCTCTCTTCTCACTTCTCTAAACTTCGACAATCTTCTATTCTTTGTTCTTGCTGAGTGGTTAAGGCGTTGAGCAGGTCTGGTCAGTTGGTCACTCCTAACACGGGCACGCAATAGTCAACACGATAGCCACGCTCACAAAACAAAATCAAAATCCCAAAATTTCATATTTTTATTTGAAGAAAAAAAATAAAAAAAAATCGATAGCATTTGTCTTCCAATCCCTTCTTCATTTTCAAGTTTTGTGTTTTCCGGTGAAAAAAATCAGAAATTAGTGCACCATGTGGGCGGAGATAATCTACGGACTTATCATTTACCGGTTGTTCCGGCGTTTCTTCTACAACGATGGCGTCTTGGAGGTCGAAACCTCTGATTCTAATGCTATTTTCTCCGTAGCCAATAGGTACTACTACTTTCACAATTTCAACATTTTTTTCTAATTTTTTCTTTTTCTTCTTATTTTTTTTTTTTCCATTTTTATAGTTTTCTAATAAAATTGTCCGAAGAAAGAGCGAAGCTTTCTTGATTGCATAAATGTTATATTGTTGAGGTTTGTTTGGTTTCTTGGAAAATTGGAATCTTGGAAAGTGCTTTTTACTGTTCTTTGCAATGAACAAGGGTGTAAATTTAGGCTTAGTATTGTTGTTGCTTTTTTTTTTTTTTTTGGTTTTGAATTTGCTTTTGGGGTTGGAAGTGAAAAGGCAAGAATGCGTTTGAGTGTGTAGAATTAAAACTTAATTTTTATATTTTTTTTAATAATGAAATTCATGATTTTAGTGTTATATGGAGTGGGAACAATTTAAGTTTTTAATATGTGTAACATTCTTACTATTTACTCATTAACTTAAAACAGAATATTTTGGTGAGTCTATCTTTCCATTTAATTTTCCTTTGATTTTCTCAGTGACCATACTCAAATCCCCCACTCCTCTATTAACTGTTTCTTTTGGTGCACCTTCATTGTAGACTTGAAAAGCTTTATGGTGGAAAGGTGTATGTGGGGCTTCACATTCCGGATGCTGACACTCGTTCTCGACAGAACATCGATATGGTTCTTGTTACTAAAGGGTAACTTATTTCTGCTATGCTAGCTTTTTTTCATTTGCTTAGAGTGTGTTCTGTTATCTATTTGTTTTATTTACATAAAAAAGCTTTAATTGGCTTGTTTAAGTGGTAAACAGTGATGAAAATATGTTGAGAATGAGACTTCTTGTAGTTTAAAGTTCTTTTTCTTATTTTCATCTCCGTTTTATTGCTAGCAAAGATAGGATTATTTAATTACTGGAGTTTTCTTTGATGTTCATTTTCTCTTACCTTTAATTTTACCTCTTGGAATTTAATGCATTTGTGCAGAGAGGCAGCTGTTATTTCTGTCAAGAATCTAGCAGGGTTTGTTTCTATAAATGAGGATGGTAGCTGGACTTGTGAAGGTGGCAGTCACAGGGCAGAGCGTCATCCAGATCCTGTAAGTCCCCACGTTCAAATGTCTGCTTCTTCAGCGGCTCAATATATATTGCTTTTTGCATGTTTCTTATGATGAGTTTGCATGTTTGTTGCCATAAAAGCTTTGCTAGATGGGTTGTATTCGTAGTGTCAATGATGCAGTATTAACTGCATTAATTTACTGATTTCACACTATTCTCAATGTTCTCAAACATCTTTCTGTTGACATGTACCTCCAGAAATGATAGTAATTTCTTGATGTACTATGGCTGTTGTGAGGGGAAGAGAAAATGTCTAGTTTACAAATTGGCTTTTACCAATTATGAATGTGTACAATCTGTGGTTGAAGCTTAAACATTGCAACGCCTTAGTATGAATGTCTAGAACTTTTCTACTTCCAATAATTAGGAAAAGCATTCTAACTTTAGAGAGCAGTGAAGATGATCATAAAATATCTCTGGTTTCAGGTTGCAGAGGCTAAAAAACAGGCTTCAGTCCTTGAATCATATCTTGAACAAAGGGGACTTGCTTTACCAGAAGGATATTTTTCTTACAAAGTTGTAATTCCCAATCCAAAATCCCAGTATGTTCCGAATAAGTTTATTTCCTTTTTTTACCCTACAAAAATTCCTTGTAAGAGTAAGTACTGAATAATTTTCATTTGCAGTGCCATTTATAACAATTTTCCGTATGAGGTAATCACTTATGATCGATGGGTGCAATTTAAACCAGAAACAAAAAGTATGTTTTCTGGATGGATTAAGGGTGCCTTTCGAGGTGGGAAGAAGGAGATGCAGGAGTCTTTCCATAAGCAACTTAACTTTATCCTCAGCACTGCCCCCATGTGGGACAGGTATGTTACTACATGTGCCAATAACTTTGCCTTTAACTTTGTTCAAATAGGATTATTTTTCTTATGCATATCTGTCATTTTTGGTCAATAATGGTGATAATCTATCTTACCATATGATACTCAGATTTTGTCACATAATTTTACTTAGTTTGCCTGCTTTTCCCTGAATTAATTGCAAGATTCTCCATCTGTTAGACACTTAGTAAATAAAATGATACTAAAAGGAATATCTAGTACAAGAAAATTTGAATTAAGCATTAGGGATTAAGTAGGAATTAAGCTGTCCTTTCATTCTATTCATCCCTCCCATTTTGGAGTCATATACGAAGATAAATTTTTGGTTATACAAGTAACTTCATGATTCTTTTGGGAATTATGTTATCATCATAGGCAATTTTAGCTTGATAAAACTTTATTTTTCCATGATTTCTGCAGGCTGGAGCTTAAAAAATAAATATGTTCTTGGAGAATTCCTGGAATTCAAAGGGAAGCAAGAGGATACCCTGGCTTTGAGAAATATAAAGAGATCAAAAGTTAGTCGCCTTGTTATTCAAAAGACTAGCATGTTTGGATTAGGTAATCCCCATATTTTTATTGTACTCTGCATTTTTTATAGTCTTCTTTGCTTCTTTTTAAAAAATATTTTTTCCTTTTGGGATTCTAAAATCTTAAAAGTTCTCCCATAAAAGTCATTATAGTGATTCATTGGGTATATATGACAATTGTCATTTCTAGGCATGCATTAGTAGGATTTAAATCAAATTAATTGCTACATTTGGGTATTGAAGCAGTAACAATGTATCCTCATCCAATTCTGAGATAAAACCAGGAAACCAGAAGATTGTGATACTGCAGATGGTCAAATACCTTTAGAATTAATGTTAGAAATGATTATTTACATAACAATTGTTCTTCCTCTACAATGAAAAATCATATGAATCTGACTTTTGAAATAGTTGATAGATGGAGATATCTTAATTCAAAAGTTCTTAAGCAAAAGCCTCTTTCCTTGAGGGTCGTGATATGATAAATTATGATGGTAGAAGTTATAGGTCATACTGCAAGAAAATGGATTTAAGAATTGAGAAGTAGGTGCTTGTCAGAATTGGATTCCAATTTCCAACAATCACTTCACCCCATTCTCTGCTATTTCAAAATAATAGACATTCAAAAACTTATATTTTATGGTGAAATATGGAGTTGCAGAATATAGCAAAAACATTGCAGATAATGTATGTAGACATTATCTACTGGTTTAGATGTATTGTCATATTTCTGTGTAATCTTCTTATACCTGTATTCAATTTACTTGGTGATGCAGCTCATTCAAAGCTCCAGGTTTTGTACTCTCCTCGAGATTATCGAAGTGAAGGAGCTTCAGCTTCTGAGTGGAAGGAAGTAACCGTAAGATCAAGTACTGAGGTCATATTCCAGCCTCAAAATTCTACCAAAGTCCACAAATTCAAGCTAGCTTCCATCACGACTATGTCACTAAGTGCCTAAGGGATGTATCTCTCAAATGAAGACTATATATTTGTGTGATCATGAATCCGATTTTATTGACGTAACCAATTCTATAAATGCATCAAAAATTTTTTTTCTTGTAAGTTAAATGTATACGTTCTTGTGGGTATTTAATGAGCTAGTTTTACAGGGAACAAATCCTTAAAGAAGTGGATGTGAATAGAACTGTGCTGACTGCTGAGGAAAATATACGTAAAATTTTCTATGCTTGAGCCAATTCTGTTAGATGATACGATTTTCTTTATAACATCTTTATAGGTTGCTAATATTGAAGAAAAGCAGAAAGAATGCTTGCTTTTGAGATACTGAACCTGATTTTCTGTTACTGGTGATTCCTGCCAGCAACCCTCATGTAACTTAAAATGAAATTCATTTTCTTCCCTGCTTCAGATCGTTGCTTAAACTTTCTGGCTAATGATGCTGCAGCTCGATCGTTATCTCACACCTGAGTGAATTGAGTCAGGCTCAAGTTTGATTCAATCCAAAAATTTGAATCAAATTTGAACCTTGAAACTTGATCATTTTTTTAACGCTCAAAACTCCATGATTATCTCAACATTTGATTAGTAGTGTAATGGAGTCCATATATTATTAGATTTGAGTTTAGCTTGATTTAAAATTTTGAAATTTCAAGTTTGATTTAAAAACTTGATGGAGATTCAATTGTAAATATTGATATTAAATATTATATTTTTATTATTCTTATAAATACATATAATAAAAAATTAAAAGTTCAATTAAACTTAAATAAGTTTACTTAATATTTCAAGTTGAATTATTTGAATTCGATTTAATTTATTATTTGTACAGTTCAAATTTAAATTCGACTCAACGATGAATAAGTAGGGTTCAAATATTTTTCGAGTCAAACACGTATAGCTCACAAGTAGCTTGACTCGTTTACAACCTATACCTGACTAATGTTGCCCGGTCGTTTCTTCGATCGTTATCCCTGTAATGGCATAAATACTTGTCGCATCTAAGAAGTTCTTCGCAAATTGGCATGTTGCTGAAATTTCACGCAGAAGCTTATATACGAGTTATATCCTTGTCAGTGCCGTGCCCAATCAGATCAAAGTTTATTCTCAAAGGTCAGTGTTTTTCATCCCAACAGTTATTTTCCTGGATTAGAAATTTTGGTAGAATAATTAGATCATAGTGCAAATTTCCGCAACAAGTTCTATCAAGTCTTGGTGGCCAGTTCCCTTTCTTTTGAGATAAAACTAGCAAAAAGGAGAAAAGATTTATCAGCAGTATGACATAAAGTTCCATTAATCAAATTTGGGCATAAAACAACAAATGCAATACAGGACACAAGTAATTTTGAATACAGCTTTGAGCTACAAGGTCAATTGTCATCTTTGCAAGCTAATGGCTGAATGAATAATGATAGCATATAATAAATTTTCTCCTGGATTTTCCAGTTGAAGATATAATCAGAGTCCTGAAATCTACTGAACCAAGTACTAAGCAAACTTCTTTAAAAAAGGGTAGCTTCTTGTTTTTTAAAGAATATAAACAGGAGGGTATGAATAGATGATCCTACACATACAAAGCTTCTGGAAAATAATAAAGACAGTAGCCTGTCTCATCAGTTCACAGATCAGTTATAGTCAGAAGTTGATCATTCTCAAACTCCTTCATCATGTTGTTCAGTTTCTTATTGCTTATTCTCTCTTGGTAGATCATTGTTTCCCCCGAACTGCAGCCAGAAAAAAAATATATAAATGACATAAAATTACATAGAACAGGCTTGAATCTCTTATGCTTTGAAGAACTTATGAGAAAACATAAACTGTGTTACTAACCTTTGAGGAGGTGAAGAATCAGAGGATGGTAATAGCCTTTGGGCAAGCTTATCAGCGTCATGGCTGCAATTGATTACATGGTTGAAGCATAAATATCGTCCGTAGGATGAGATGTCTTCGAACACACATATGTGAGCGTCCGCGATGAACCTGAGATCAACGGTAACAAATACACCATCCTCATACATCTCAGCAGCTCCTTTTAGATATGGATTTGTGATGGTTATGTCAGGAGTCATCAACAAACCTCCATTAATGGTCACCATGTTTATTGCTCGGTCCATTGCCAGTGCCCAGGCTGACTTCTCTGCTAGTGTCTTTGATAATGCATGCCATAACTGCTTAAAATTGAAGGATCAATTTATATCCATGAGAAGCATACATGAAATTAGCCAACAGGTATGACTTCTATCTATCTCCAAGCAAAGGGTTGTTGAATTAGTACCTTAAACTTCTTGCAAAAATTGATGTCACTCCAATGCTTTTCATCGAGATCGGACGAAGCCGTGTTGCGACCTTCGTTCCAGATCACGGCTGTTACAGACGATGTGAAAACGACCTTTTCCATTGTATGCGTTTGAGCACATGCTTCCAACACATTGTGTGCAGCTCTCACCTCAACTTCTGCCATAAATTCCTGCACCAAACAAGCTCACATGCATGATTTCTCTCACTTTATTTGTTCCTTTCAAAATTGATTTACTATAATGCAATGAACTTCAATTTTGCTTTACTATGCACACGGAAACTAAAGCGTGCATAAAACAAACAAATGCAAGCGTGAAAGGATAGAAAATTTTTCACTAAAATATATATAAAAAAAGGAGTCAGGTCTATGTAGATTTATTACTATCATTTGAATATTCAAAATTTTATTTTCATTAAGTTAAATCTTTAAATATTTTATCTTTATTCAATTGAGCTCTCAATTGACTGAAAATAAGTGTTTACAATTAATCAATTTTCGTCAAATAAAAACTTGAATGAGTAAAATTAAATATTAAAGAACTCAGTTGATTGTAATGAAATAATAAAATTTAAATAATTATTAATTTTATTTTAGAGACCTTTTCTATACTTAAAAGAAAAAAAAATTCCAAATCGAAGATCAGTCACCAAAAAATAGAAAGATAACTAATTAAATCATTAGATTATAAATTTTCTTCTTTCTTCAATTTCACTCTTCCATGTCAACACCATGAAAAAAATAAAGGGTATAGATGACTTGATAATGAAACTTACATCTTTTGGGGACTCTTCTTATTAAAAAAATTAGTACAAACATAAATGCTACAAGTTCATGTTAACTTCATCAACAATTTCGAGTGTTGAATTAATGACTCCCATCAATTTAGCTACCTTTTACACCACGCTAGTGATTTAAACCTAATTACTAAATAAATAAGGCTTTGGAAAGCTAAAAATATGGGATTATTTCTATTCAATTAGCTTTTTTTTTTCTTTTTTAATCTTTTGGTTTATAATTGAAGTTTGAAACCAAGATTTTCAGCTCAAGAATTGATTTCAGTAGTGCATGTGTCAGTTCAAGTGGTAAGGGTGTAATCGAAATTGGATAGAGATTTTAAACTAATAAAAATAAATAATAGTGCATCATCAATATAACCTTAATTATTTTTAACATATATATATATATAGTGATATCTTTTGAAAAGAAAATTAATAAGATAATTAATGAATTCGAGAATAGGAACTTGTAATGAATAAAAAATTAGCACAAAAGGGAAAATAATATAGTAAAAATTGAGATATTAAAACTACCATATAGTGAAAAAGAAAAAAGTGACATACATCATAGGTGGAGTGGTCAGAGGGAGGCTCAAAGCAGTAAAACAAACCACAACATCCCTTCAATGCATTTGTTATGCTGTGGTAGTCAAAGGGATCTGCACGAAATACCCTTAGTTTTTCATTACCACAAGGCAGCCCCTCAAATGATTGGAATTCACCTGCATATTACCAACAAAAAAAAAGATTGACTAAAAAAGCTTAATTTTTATTATTTCAGATGATAGTCATTTTTGTATATTCCATCTGCTAAATCCCATTTCCAACAAGTCTAGCCATTAATGGACCACCATGCACATGGGAACTTAAACTCGAGTAAATATATATGTACTATCTTACAAGATATCAGAAGTATAATTCAGATGATAAAATAAAAATTAGTAATTATGTGATGAGGGAAAAATATAAAGAGGAAGAGAAGCTAATTACCATGGTGTTGGAGTGCAGCATGGATAGTATAGCCTCTATGCAAGAGCAAGTGCACAAGGGCCGAACCAAGGTGACCGGAGGCATCCATTACACAAACTGTCCTCGAATCATTGCCATTGGAATTAGAATTAGCTGATCCTGCCATGGTTAATTAATTGACACAGATAATTTCAGCAACGCAGGCCAAGAAGAAGAAGAAGAAGAAGAAATGGTTGAGAGGGAAATGTGGTGATGGTATTTATTATATAAGAGGGATTGGGGAAGGGAGAAAGAGAGAGCATTAATTAATGAAAGATCAGATTGGTTAATTACAGATGGTTGGGCAGATGGTAGTTAGCTACTACACAAAAAAGGTAAGGACTTGGCCAAAAGTATAATGAGAGTCCGCATTGACAGATAACATACTGCAAAGTGGGGGACCTTTGCAAGCTAAGACCAAATTTGATAGACTGCAAACTTCGATTACACGTGTTACTAGTAAATAAAATAGCCCTTCGTTAGTAGCCTAGAATTATCCCTAATTAAACATGTACATCTTTAAAAGACTCTATATTCTATTTTAATTTAAAGCAGAGGTGTTAAAGGGTCGGATTGGGTTAAATTAATAATTTGATTTTTTTTATAAAAAAATCATAATTGGAGGATAAAAGAGTTTGTAAATATTGAGATAATTTTTTTTAAATTTTTTGTCAATAAACAATAAAATGGAATATTGTTTAGCATATCGTATAATGTTCCTTAATTTATTGTCAATAAAAAAATAAAAAAGAATTAGAAAATTTTTTTTTGGAAATAAATATGTGATAAAAAAGTCATTTAAAATTACAACCTGAGATTGGCCTATAGTAGATGAAATCATAATGTTTAATTGATTTCATGCCCTCCTTGTAATATTTAATTTAAATCCTAATAATCATATTGAATCGAATCAAATCGAATCATTGATTACACTAATCAAATTGGTGACTTAATGCTAAAATTTAAAATTTTATTATTAAATCATAAATATAATTCAAATTAAACTCTTGTGAACTGACGTTTTATTATTAAGTTGATGAAATCTATGGATTTTATTTAATCGGATGAATTTGACTTATGTTAGTAAAATAACTGTAAAGTCATGATTATTTTAATTAATTTTATGAGTTGTTATGTCATTTAACCAAAATGATGTATTTTAAATGATTTTTAATAATTAAAAAACAAAAATAAGTTGCAAACAAAGTAAAAACTTACAATTTACAAAGTCTTTTAGAAAAACAAAAAAGAGAAAATTTTTTTAGTTATTTGATTGGTACTTTGAGTTAGAAACTTATTTTTATACTTTTTAATTAAATGAAAATTTTATAAATACAAAATTATCTAGAAAAAAATTTTATTATTTCTAAAAAAAATGATTAATTTTTTAAACGTATTATATATTTTAAAATATTTTATTGATACAAGATTAAAGAACCCAATTAATCTAGAAATTGAACCATTAATCAGGTAAATCGACCTTTTGAATAATTAATTGTTCTTTGTAAAATATATATATATATATATATATATATTAAGCAAATTTACAAAACTATTTATTGAGGCAACGATCGAGAAGTGTTGTATTGATTGAAGGGATATCGCTTGGTTCAAGGTGAATTGCAATATTCTTTAATTTATTTTTTCCTACGTTTGCCTCATTGAACTTTCTATATTCCATTAATTCTTTTTATTTTCCTTTTTTTTTCTTTCATAAAAAAATTGAATCTAATTGGTCAAAATTAGGAGGTCGGTAGAGATGGGAATAAAAATAACTAAAATGCTGAGTAGAGCCTCCAACTGCACTCTTTAATGTGTGAAATTGGTGAGATTATCCTAGTTGCTACCAATTGGACGAAAGTTTGGATCTTTGGGCATTTAATTCAATGTAGGTAGGATGAGATTGACATTTGAAAAAGAAAACAAACGATGAAATAGTGAAATAATCAACTTGGCTATAGGAGGCAGACCCTTTGTAAGCAGTGTTCACGAACCAAAAGTTCCATATGGTTGTCAACCATGAAGTGAAGTGTAAATGGACCCTCTAATGAGCCAATATTTGGTCAAATCTATAACAACATTCTATTGCTTTTTTATATTTTTATTCTTGGCTTATGCTATTTATGAGCTTGTAAAGCAAAGCCACATCCATTCTTTCAATATTGGCCCTAACAACAACAAAGTAACCAATTCTTAGTTGTATTCTAACCAATGCTTTTTGTTTGTGGAGCCAATAGACACCCACATCTCCCCCTCTTTATAAATGGGAATGGACTAATTTATATTGACTAGTATTAAATGCTTTTAATCACCTTCTTATTGACAACATCCTATACTAGAAAGGAAGAAATCTTAGAATCCGAATTTAATTTAATTAATCCATGCAATTATTTTTAAATGTGATGACTAATAAATTTGATATTCAAATTTTAACATTTATAATCTTTTTATATATTTTTAAATTACGGTTTCTTTTTTTTTTTTACAAAATAATTACAAAAGGGAATAAGATATTAAATAATAAGCATACGTTTATTGATATTAACTTGAGATTTTAAGTAGGATATCCACATATCCACCAGCAACCAATCTGTCCTCAATGGGAAGGCAAAGGTTTTGAGCCACTATATCCTGAAATTTTAATTAAATTATCAGTTTGTGGAAGATTTCTTTCAAAGAGGATAGCTTGATTTCTATTTTGAAAATTTAACTCATAAATCAAAATTATAAATATTGAAAATGGGTGACCATATTATAAAATCAGAGAAGATTACTTTCTATTGTATAATTAAAGATTTAATCGATCATTTTATGTATAAAAAAAATTCAGACACACAACGTACCAACAATTCCATTTTTTTTAATGAATTTCAACTCATTAATGATTTAAGATTAAGCTAATTAAAAGTTTACGAGTACATTAGATAGGCGGTCATGATGATTTTGATGATATTAGTTATTATAATGATGAGTTTAGTTATTGTAATGATGAGATTAAAAATAATAATGAAATATATTTAGATGCAAATATAACAGTAATGGTAATATGAATTATAGTGAAAAAATAAAATAATCTCTAATATATTAAATTAAAATTATTTGATATTTATGACATTGATAAATAATTAATAATTAAAAATTATTTTATATCAAATTATATTTTTATTAATAAATTGAAATTATTAAAATTATTTTATATTAAATAATACTTTATTATTAAATATTTACAGATTATTTTTTATTTATATTATTTTTATGTATAAAATAATCAAAAAAATAAAATAATGAAAAAGCAAAGTCAAAGACTACAAGTGATATGGACATTTTTGTTCCTTTGCTATTGTTTAAAGGGTAAAATAAATAAATAAAACAAATAAAAAGTAAGGGAATTAAAGGAAAAGAGGTTATTGTGGAGATGAAAAAAAAAGTGTGGCGCATTTAAAACTAACTTCAACTGCATTCAAGTTGTTTGCCAAATTCATGAGCAGTCCAATTTGAGTCAACTGGAGACAGCAGTAATCCAAATCGGCTCTAAGATTCAAATCCGATATTTTATTTTAAATTCTTCATATATAAAGTAAAAAAGAAATAATCTCTTGTATAGTTCTTGAATTATTAAAAAATATTTAATATGATTTATAAATTAAAAATTTATTGTACATTAACTTTTAATTTGTGTGTCCATTTATCTCATGATCTAACACTATTAATAAAAATTGATGATTTAACAGTCAGCTAATGAAAATTTAACAAGTATATAAATATGACTTATATGGGTAATACATGATTATCATGTAAGATTGACATAATTGTCACATATCATGAAGGTTAAAACTTTAAAAATTTTACAAAAATAAAAATAAATAAAAACTTTTAAATAAATTTAAAAAATTATGAATTTTTAAAATTAAAATTTTTAATTTTTAAAAATTCAAAATCTCAAATTTTTATTAAAAAATTAAATATGAAAAATAAAAAATTCAAGCAAATTATTTACTTTTACACTGTTTACACAACAAGGTTACTATCCATTAACACGAAATCCTAGCCCAAATCAACAATTATTATTTGGCTACAATTTCAACTTCAATTGCTAAAGAAAAAAAGAGTAGCAACTACTTCAACTTCATCAACTCCTTTAGTTAAATTGAAAAATGGTAGCTCCAACAAACTCCTTAATTCATTTCTACTGAAAATGGGAGTAAAAACAAGACAAAATACGCAAATGGATCTTTATTTCGTTCTCTCTCTGATGCTATTTGAGGAAGCAAAAGTCATACACAAACTCTGGAGTGTTTTCTGTTTTCTAAGAGGTTAAAATTGCAACTTGGTATAAAAACAGCTACAATGACAAGGGATTTGGCTCTCAGGATGAGAATTCTTTAGGTATTTCTTCAAACTTGCCTGACAAAAAACCTATTATATTTCCCTTGAAGATGATCTCCACCTGAAAAATATTACATTTAGGTTAAGTTAAAAGTGGACCCAACACTTGCAGCGGTTGCAAAGAAAGAGGATTATATAGCTTTAAGTTCAAATGGTTCAACCTTTGCTGATCCAACTTACCTCAAAAGATCTCCACCTGGAAATCGACAGGAAAAAAAAATATATATATATATATATATATCATAATTAAACAATATCCTTAAAGCAGGAAAATAATCCACCTCCAGCTTTTCTTAAAAAAGAATAGAAATTCTTTCAGAGACTTGATGAAGCAAATGGAACAGCAGTGAAGTACTGAAAATTTCAGGCTAAGCAAAGAGTACTGAAATTGTAAACTTTTTTTTTTTTCAGGCTCTTCTAACTTGGAAGTTCTAACAAAGCTAAAAATAATTTCCTGAGGATTTTTGTGGAGTGGTCAAAATGCTGCTAGCATTAAGTACATAGTTGAAAACGCCGCCTTTGCGAGGTGGTTCACAATAGCAACATATGAAGACAGGTTATAAAACAATAAAACAAAATTTTTTTGATAAATCCCTTCCTATCCCAATAACAAGAATTAAGAAGAGAAGTCAATCTCACTAATCCAAGGAGATAATTATGCCATTCAGCAGTGTTAGTGTTTGATTTGATGGTGCAGAGTTATGACTTAGAAGTTTGAAGCTCAAGATCATTTCATAAGGAATTATCTATCTTTCTACCAACAAGAATCCTGAGCATGCATGATTCAGTAGCTTATCT